GTTCTATGGGAAAAGCACTAGGTCGAGATCCCTCCATCCCTGCTTCTTCCAAGATATCAAGAACATACTTTCGTTGACATAAAGAGATGCCTTGGGATGTGCGAGCCACTTCGATGCCCAAAAAGTAGCGCAAAATCCCAAGATCATTGATGCTGAATTTGTCGTTCAAGAAAGCCTTAACTCGGGTGATGAAAGGCATGTAATTACCAGTGAGAATAACATCATCGACGTAAATGAGAGTGACGACAAATATGCTCCCCCACTGATAGATAAAGAGAGAATGGTCAGCTGGCGAGGCGCAAAAACCGAGATCACAGAGAGCTGTAGTAAACTTCTGGTACCAGTTGCGAGACGCCTGTCGCAGACCATAAATAGACTTATGCAGCAGAAAAACCCGAGTCTCACCTGGAGCGGCGAATCTAGGGGAATTTGCATGTAAACTTTCTCAGCGAGGTCACCATGTAGAGAAGCATTATTCACGTCCAGTTGATGAAGGGCCCAACCCCGACTGACAACAATGGCAATGAGACAACGGGCTGTGACAAGGTTAGCAACAGGAGCAAACGTATCATGAAAATCCAGGCCTTCAATCTGAGTGATATCCTTAGCAACTAGACGGGCTTTGAACTGCTCGATGTTGTCGTCTGGATAGTACTTGATCTTGAGACCCATTTGCAGGCAATAGCACGTTTTCCTGGGGGAAGAGACACCAGACTCCATGTACCATTGGCTTGAAGAGCTTCCACCTCTTTAATCATCGCCGCACGCCATCGAGGATCACGCATGGCCTGCCAAAAGTATTTAGGTTCATCTCCATATGTGACTGCAACAAGAAAAACTTGGTAAGCTGGTGTAAAACTATCATATGTAAGGTGATGAGAAAGAGGATAACGAACGTCACTTCCCTGAGGAGCCCTCGCAGATGAACCCCAAGTGACCGGTCCTGTAACATAATTGTCCAAATATTTGGGGCGATGACAGACGCTATCACCATGTTGCAAGACAGGGGGATCAGGCGAGGGCAATGATGAACTGGGAGAAGCCTGTGCCGTAGAAGGAGTCGAGGGAGTCACCGTGGAGTGTGAGCCTGGATTCGACACATCAAGAAAGTCAAGGGGAGCTGGGGACGCGGTACCTACTGGAGAAGCTGGGGACGAGGGACAAGACGACAAAGAAGTCTGTGCGTCATCCATGTGTTCGGCAATATGGGGATCAATAGGAGTGGATACTTAATTAGAAGAAACCATAAGCTTCTCAAAGTGAGGACGGGGTACCCAATGAAGAGAGACTTGCGTAGCTGACTGGAACGGGAAGACTGACTCGTGGAAAATGACGTCACGAGTAGTGAAGACCTTTCGATCAACAAGGTAATAAGAACGATAACCTTTCTGAGTTGACGCATAGCCCAAGAAAACACAAGCTCGACCATGATCAGCAAATTTATCAAGATGATTATGGGTGTTCTTCGAGTAACTAGACAGCCAAACACCCGCAAATGTGTATAGGAGGGCTATCTCTTGAATAGAACCTCAAAAGGTACTCGACCAGTAACTGAACTCGGCAAGCGATTAATAAGATATGTGGCAGTGAGAACGCACTCACCCCAAAACTTAATTGGTAGGCTGGCCTGAAAACGAAGAGCACGAGCAGTTTCCAAAAGGTGTCGATGCTTTCGTTCCACAACTCCGTTCTGCTGCGGAGTATCAGTGCAGGATGTTTGAAAAAGAATACCCTCATAGTAATAATAGTCGCAGAGAGGATCTATGGTGCACTCGGATCCATTATCAGCTTGTACCCTCTTAACTTGTGCATGAAACTGGCTACGAACCATATGAAAAAATTGAAGAAGATAGCGACTAACATCTTATTTGTAGCGCATAAGATAAACCCAAGTCCCACGACTAAAATCATCCACGATCGTCAAAAAATAATGTGCAACACTCAAGGAAGGGACTTTATAACCTCCCCAGATATCCAAATGAACAAGTTCAAAACAAGAACTAGTTTTAATAAAACTGGAAGGAAAAGGGTTACGAGTTTGTTTGGCACGTAGGCATGAATGACAAAGGGATGTTTCTGTACCCACAATAACCGACAATAAAGGACTTAAACGCTGCAACTTATCCAAAGACGGATGCCCCAATCGAGCATGCCAGGTGCCCTCAGAGACCTTCAAACTTCCCTGCACCGAACAGGCTTGCACTCGTCCCTGACCAAACAAGCGCAAGTAATAAAGACCGTCACGCAGCTCACCCTACCCAATCAACTTCTTGGAGAGTAAGTCTTGAATGACGCAGAAATCAACAAGAAATATTAGTGCCACTTGATTCTCCTTTGTAAAACGACTGACCGAGACCAAGTTACAGCGAAACTCGGGCACGTGAAGAACTCGGCCCAATGTTAAGCCTGACTGAAGATAAATTTTCCCAATATGCTTAACAGGTATGCTCGACCCATTCGGGATACGGACAGGCTGCCCATTTGATATCACAGTCTTATTAGATAAAAGAGAGTCATCCATGGTAATATGCTCATTACACCCCGAATCAAGTAACCATTCAGAATCGAAAGAAATCGTACCTGCCATGTGTGTCGTAAGATCATCAGCTGCGAATTCAGACTTGCTAAAAAACTGCTTCAGCTGCTCAAGCTGGGACAATGTAAAACCAGGAACCGGACTAGGCTGGTCACGATCAACTTGAGAGGCCCTAGGCTCGCGTTCCTCTCCTGAATGCGGTTTGCGGCGTGCACCCTTCTCTCCCGATTTGTCGCCAGGTTTGTCACGAGGCGGATAACCGATAAGCTCGAAGCAAGTTTCACAAGAGTGATCGGGCTTCTGACAATGAGTGCAATGACGCAGTTCACGGTCACCGGGCCTACCAGACTTGTCATTATCACCGCGAGCATTGAACACTGCTGCTTCAGGGGGAGACTTGCGATTCTGTGTGATCACCTTCTGTTGTTCCTCATTGAGGACCAAATTGAAAGCCTCAGTAATACTTGTCACGGGACGCATGGCCAATATCTTAGTAAGGACCAGAGCAAAAGCATCTTCCAGGCCCATCAAAAAATCAAAGACACGAGCGCTATCGAGCTGTTTGCGGATACGACGAGAGACTCCACACGTACAGAGGCCGCAGATGCAGCTCGGAGGAGGTGAGATGGTCGTGGCCTCTTCCCAGAGAGATCAAAGTCGGGTGTAAAAAGAAGAAACCGACAGTTTCTCTTGCTGGAGGAGACTGATTAACCGGCAAAGGTCATATGCCCTAGACGAGTTACCTTGGCCAAAACAACTCTTCAAATCGTCCCAAATCGCCTTGGAGGTCTCAGCAAACCTCACACTGCTACGAATTTCCTTATCCATGGTTGTTTTAAGCTAGCCCTTGACTATCGCATCTGTGCGCATTCAAGCATCGGCTTCAACAAAGTCAGCAGGCTGTTTGACAGATCCAGTAACGAACCCATATTTATCTTTGGCGAGAAAAGCATCCTTCATGTCTAGGATCCATTCGTCGTAATTGGATGCCGTCAAGACATCAACAACAAGCATATGTCCGGGACTATCGGACTGATGCAGAATATAAGCAGACGGGCACCCATGTGATCCGCCGCTGCTAGAACTGATAGAAGAAACATGAGTTTTGGTGGAATTATCATCACCGTCACCCATGATTGCGGAAGACACGAACTGAGCTCATCACCGCTCTGATACCATGAAAATATTGGAACTGCGGAAAGTTCAGCCTCACATTGAGGAGGCTTACGTCCACAGAAGAATGTGCTGATTTTATTTCAGTATGTGGTTCTGGCTTCTCGACCAATTACCACCATATTTATACCCTGTACAACTCTCTACTTGGGTACTAGGTTTATTTCTACACGTATATGGAAGGGTACATGTAGAGAATAGAGTTTGCATGGCCACATGGGCTGCAACGGGATCATCAACTGTACTGGGCTGCTCGGACGATTCTTCTTGGCCCAATACATGATAATGGTACGTAGGATTCAGAAGTGGGAGTTTGTTGGTTGGGACTCTCGATGTTATTTAGCTTAGTATAGTTTAAGAACCAACTATCCCCCTCTCATATTGTCACGACAGGTCGTTCATCATTCAGATGACGAGTTCTCTTCCTTGGTCTCATACTTTAAGTTGAACGATTTGATGCCGGTCTAGACACCGTCTTCCATTCGCTAAATAACTTTGCGGTCGCTGGTGAGAGTGTCCCTTTGAGTATAGGAGTAGGGGATTTCACATGATTTTGGTGGCCAACAGACGGATTCGAGTCAAACTCATGGGCTTCACATTGACCTCGTACTCTGTCTCCAACGTGTTCGAGGACTCGTTGCTTTCACCCATGTGTAACCTCTGAGAGTTCCCCAAAGATCTCACTGCGTCCTTCAGCAAGGAACGGAATGCCAGTCTTGATGGTAGTCTTCACTCCAATCTTGAGGGCAGGGGCGGATACATGGCACTTTAGGGGTGCATGGGACACCCCTAAAATTTGGGGAAATGATCATCCAACCTCCAATAGTAGTTTTGTATGGATAAAAAAATGGTATTTCGGGACACTCCTAAAATTTGAAAAAGCAATTATCCTATCCTCGGCAGTAGTTTGCTTATGATTAAAAAAATATAAGTGGTAGTTTGTGTTATTCAAATCTAGAAAACTACTATTATTAAACATATTCTTCATTAGGTTGCAAATCATTTTTAGTTTTATTTTAAACACTATGTAATAGTAAAAACGCTATTCATTATCTCCAACTATTTTCAAAATCTAACAATTAAACTAATTACAGGCTATCCCTAATTTGAATTGATTTTATGGTTACATCACAAGTGTTGAAAGAGTATTTTCAACTTTGAGTTACATTAAGAACAAAGTTAGAAATCGAATATACGATCATTTAGTGAATTATTGTCATAGTAGGATATACATATTTGTAGAGCAATGTAGACACCGAGACTATTTATATTTTCTTTTCAGAATGCGAGAACACATTGTGATATTTTGTTAATATTTGTAGTAGTAGGATATTTTCTAATATAAGAATTATTTAATTCAATTATTGAATTTTTAATTTAATTTATTTTTGGAAGAGGACGCCCCTATAAAAAATTTCTGGATCCGCCACTAATTGAGGGACACATTCCTAGACCAGGTGTTGCTCTTGGTGTTTGTGTAGCTTAGCTGCGCTCTCACCATGTTGGGATTAGAACTCATGTTACTGGTGACTCCGGTGGCCATGGTGATGACGGACTGGTCATAGATTCTGGCATCCATGAGGCAGAAATCCACATCATAAATGCTCCTCGAGATCACCAGCTCCTCCACCCCAATCTGGGCCTCCTTACTTATTGTCGACACCCCAGCATTAAGGCAACTTGGTTTCCCCTCGGTAGTCAGCCGCTTGCAGAAGTAGCTATTGTTGTAGTTGCGCAACGCGATGGCGCTTTTCCCGACTTTCACGGGCCAAAATAGCATGTCGGCGTTGTCAGTGGTGCTGTCGCTGGAGTCGCCCCAGATCCAATTGGGGCTAAGCCTCCAGAACTTGTTGAAGCAATTAGACTTAATCTGGATGCTTTCGTAAAGACCTCATTCCCCACGGATGGATCTCCAAGGTCGCTGCCAGAGAATTCAAGGTACTCAAGGCCTTTGATCCAGCAAGCAAGAGGTACTGCCCATTGTCGCCCTTGAATGCCACGTGTTTTGGTAGCACGAGGAGAGACTCCCAGTAACTAAAATCTCACAGACATCGTAGAGGTCACTGTTTGGCTCCTCCCACCCGGCGTACACGAAGTTCCCAAAGGGCGGGTCCGAGCAAAATTAGCAGGCATAGTGGTTGAGCTGGACGTGGAGGAACCGCACGGTCCTGTGGTCGTCTTTGTCGTCCACAAAGACAAGCTTGAAGAGGGTGCACGACCACTTGGACTGGTCCTATTCGGGGATCCAGTACTGAGTTTCGAACCACACCTCACCCAGTACTTGTTGGTGTAGGAGCACCTAAGGTGGACCAAACCGGATACGGTCTTGGAAGGCTCGACTCTCAAGTAAACTGGTTAATTGCTCACAAAGGATTGTTTATTTAATATATATATAAGCATAAACAACCTTAATTTCCGCCTAAACACAAACCCTACTGATAGACCGTTAATTGCACATGTTTTTACCCCTATTCTCGAGCCGTTTGAGATGTTGATTCTCGTGTTTTAGGCCGATTTCACGCTAGGTTGTGCTTGTTTGTGATATTTCAGGTCCTAGTACGTGAATGAAGGTTTGGGAACGAGTTCGGGGTCGATTGGACGAAGTTTGGACGTTTGGCGAGAAGCTGAGAAGCCACACGGGCATGCGTAAAAGCCACACGGCCGTTTAGGGGACCCCTGGTGGCCGTGTGGAAATTCCAGGGAACTCACACGGGCACCCTGGGAAGCCACACGGCCGTGTGGGTCGTGGCCGCGTAGGAAGCCTGAAGTCACTTAACGAAACGCCGCGTTTTGCAAAGCCACACGGGTAGCTGGGGGAGTCACACGGCCGTGTGGCCTGACCGTGTGAGTCGGGAATTTCTGGTTTTAAGCCAATTTTGAGCCAAAGGAGAGGGAGAGCTGGGTTTTGGTTCCCAAACACCCAAGGGACGAACCCTAGAGAGAGAGAGCCACTTGGGAACATTCTTGGAGCTATTTTGGAGGATTTCTTCGCCATTGGAGCTCGGGAATCAAGCTTGGAGATGTAGATTGAAGATCTAGATAAGATTTCTGCAGTCTCTCTCTTCTCTATGGAGTAACTTCCCTTCACTTAGGTTTTGAGGAGCCCTAGTTCCATGTGTTAGGATCTTTCTTGTATGAAGTTTTGGATGTTATATTATTTGATTATAATCGATTGAGGCATGACTTATTGAGTCAATTGAATCTTGATCAAATTCTCTTGATTTCTGCTTTAACCTATGATAGATAGAATCTTATTAGGTTAAGAGAGCTTCCTTGATTGATAGTGGTGAATTGGTTGTGCGAGAGTCAATCAATTCACTGCTTTGTACTGGAATTCATTCCACTAGTGGAGATCTGTGTGAATAGCCTTAGCAGTCTATCCCGGTGAAGGCTAGTCGCCTGCCGGTATTCTGTCTAAGAGGGCTTGGTCAGCTTAAGAGATTCCAAGCTAATTTAGGATCTTCCGCAGTTTAATCAACAGTAGATCAACCAAAGGTAATTGCAACTTGGACCTAATTGAGGAGCTAGGGGGAATCATACCTAAGTGAGTTCCCAACTTGTAATTAGTAGAGTAGTTAGTAGAGTAGTTTAGTAAATCAATCCTTAATCTAGTTTGCTAGATAATGAACTGAAGCTGAGTAATAGTAACTCTAGAGATCCGTGGATTCGATATTTATTACTTGTGCCACTATACTGCAGTCCCTTTCATTGGTACACTTGGCCATTGTTAGGTGTTGTGTCATAGCATGTCACCTACTCAAAATATATCTAATTCCTTTGCTTTCATATGCTCCTCTGAATTGGTAGGGAAAATTTTGCAACCTGCCTAAATTTTGCTTGTTTTGCAATTCAGAAGAACTTCCCATCAAGAGTTCTACGAAACAATGAAATAAGTTTGAGAAATTTTACAATGCTTCAAAGTATTGATTTTTTAGTTTTTTCCTCTATGGTACACGGGCATGCCTAAAAGCCACACGTATCATACATTGAATGAAACACACAAAGCAAATGAAAACAAAATACAGAAACAAATCGTCAAGCACGCAGTCGCGCGGTCCACGAGATAGATGCATCTTATATGCACATGATATAAAGGTACATTGGATTCAGAAGTGGGAGCTTGCAGGTTGAGACCGTCAACGTTATTTAGCTTAGTATAGTTTAAGAACCAGCTAGCCACCTCCCATATGATCACGGCAGGTTGTTCATCATTCAGATGACGAGTTTTTCCTCCTTGGTCTCATATTTGAAGTTGAAGGAATTGATGTCGGTATAGACACCATCATCCATTCGGTAAGTAACTTGGCTGCCGTTGGTGAGAGTGTCCATTTAAGTATAAGAGTAAGGGATGTCACAAGATCCTCTGGTGGCCAACAGACTGATTTGGGTCAAACTCATGGGATTCACATTGACCTCGTACTCAGTATCCAACGTGTTTGACGACTCGTTGGTTTCGCCCCACGTGTAACCTCCTGAGAGTTCCCCAAAAATCTCAATGTGTCCTTCAACAAGGAACAGAATGCCTGTCTTGATGGTAGTCTTCACTCCGGCCTTGAGGGACACATTTCCAGACCAGGTGCTGCTCTTGGTGTCAGTGTAGCTCATCTTCACTTTCGTCGTGTTGGGAGTCGACGTCCCGTTACTAGCGACCCCAGTGGCCATGGTGACGATGGACTGGTCGTAGATTCTAGCGTCCATGAGGCAGAAATCCACATCATAAATCGCATGTACTTGTTGTTGTACTTGTACTTCAGCACCACGTATCTCGGCAATGGCGGCTATGCCATTTTTTTTTGTTGGTTTGATGGGATGAAGAGTAATGGCAGCTTTGGTTTCTTGTTTGTGTTGTGGTGATGTGTTTTACCCTTTGATCTGGTCTCTATTTATAGCAAAAGCGTGACCTAACCATGCATAATGTTCTACTTGACATTTCAGCTCTTTTTAAATCAAATCTTAAACCCCACTTTTACTTTTCCTAGGTTGGTTGTTGAACTTAATTAGTACTGATGATCATCAGCATTATGGCTCAAGTTATCCAAAGTGTAATCCTCAATGCAATTCCACCCTCCTCTCTGATACTAGCAGTGTTGAAGTTGGTGAGATGCCACTTTTGACCTATTCCGAGGTAGTTTTAGCAGTGTTCTCCAAGTTGTCTCCTAGTGGGAGATCACTTATCTATTAGAAAATTTGAGTGTGTGACATCTACCAGCTACCAGGTCCTTTGGAATGGAGGAGAGACTGCAAGTTTCAAACCATCAAGAGGCCTCAGACAGGGATGTCCCCTCTCTTCCTACCTTTTTACCCTTTGTGTTGATAGGTTGAGTCACTGTATTGCCCATGAGGTTGAGTCTAGTACTTGGAATCCCATCAGACTCTCCTTAGGTGGCCCAGCCCTCTCCCATCTGTTCTTTGCAGATGACCTGGTTCTATTTGTGGAGGCTAACCCTGCTCAAGCTGACACTGTCCTAAAGTGCCTTACCTGTTTCTGTGATGCTTCAGGGGAAGCTGTCAGCAAGGAGAAGTCTAGGGTGTTCTTTTCTAGGAATGTTAAGAACCATACTAGACTAGAAATTTGTAAGAGATTAGGTATACAGTCCACCAGTGACCTGGGAAGATACTTAGGTGTCCCTGTGTTGCATGGTCGTGTTACTAAGTCTACTTACAGGTATATTATTGAAAGAATCGACCAGAAACTAACTAACTGGAAAGCTAGAACCCTCTCCCGTGCTGGCAGAGTGACCTGGCCATCTCTGTGCTTAATGCTCTTCCAACCTATGCTATGCAAACCACTTTCCTCCCTGCTTCTATTTGTGATACAATTGATAGGAAAGTTAGAGCTTTTGTATGGGGTTATGGGGAGGGAAAGAGGAAGGTTCACCTGGTTTCTTGGGAAAACATCTACAAACTAAGGAACAAGGTGGGCTGGGGTTGAAGTCTGCTAGACAAATGAATATGGCTTACATGATCAAGCTTGGATGGAACATGCTTAATAAGGAGGATGATCTGTGGGTTCAAGTGTTGCAGGGGAAGTATTTCAAGATGAGGAATGGTGAGATCCTCTCAATGAAGAAGAGTAACCATTCCAATTTGTGGAAGGCCATGGTCAAAGTAATGAATCTGATGAAACATGCCACCTGCTGGAGCATCCGTGATGGCCAAGCCACCAAATTCTGGACACAAGCATGGGTTGACAACGACATCATCCTTGAGGACTTTGCTCTTGATGATGTACCTGAAAAAGAGAAAGATTCTGTTGTTGCCAACTGGGTCACTGAGGGAGGTGAGTGGGATTGAGGGAAGCTTAGAAGTTAGAACTGCCCTCCCTGATTGCATACTTCCTTTGATTACAGGTGTGGAAGTCCCCAACCCAAACCTGGGTGAAGACACAAACATCTGGGGACTGGAGTCAAGTGGTTAATTCAGCTTGAAATCAACATACAACCTTGCAGCTGAGGAGGTGGAGGAGGAAGGAGAACCAGAAAGAGGCTAAAAAGCACTTTGGAAATGGAAGGGCCCTAGCAGAATCAAGTATTTTATTTGGCTTGTCATGCACGAAAGGCTGATGACCAACAAAGAAAGGAGTAGAAGAAAGCTCACCACCAACAGCTTCTGCAAGGATAAAGAAGAATCCATTGACCACATTCTGAGGGACTGCAGCAAAGCTAGGGAGATTTGGGATTCATTTCCCTGCAAAGTTGCTGCTAATAGCACGAACCTATCTTTGAGAGAATGGCTGCTAACCAACCTTACTCAGGAGGAGAGTGCTACTGGTTTTGGCATTATCATCTGGCACCTGTGGAAACAAAGAAACGAAGAAGTTATGGAGGGGCGCGCTTTCTGCAAGAAAGGTTTGATTGCCAGGATTAAAGCCTGGTTCCACATTGTGGAACAGGCACACCAGAATGTGCAGAAGACTTCACTTACCAGTAAGACTGCAGGCTGCACGAGATTGATCTGCTGGGTTCCACCTGATGAAGGATGGATCCAGCTGGAAACGAACGGCTTTGTGGTCACTTCGACTGGGAAAGCTGCTGCTGGAGGACTTTTCAGAGACAACTTGGGACAATGCAAAGGGGCCTTTGTCTGCAACCTTGGTTCGTGTTCCATCACTTCTGCTGAGCTCAAAGGTGCGTTGGAAGGGCTCAAAATTGTGTGGCAGAGAGGGTACAGGAGGATTCAGCTCAACCTGGACTCCTTGACTGCTCTTGAAATCATCAAGCAACGCCAGAACGACAACCATCGGCATGGAAGCTTGGCTAAACAGTTTAGCTATCTTTTGAACCTCGATTGGGAGGTGAAAGCTTCTCATATATATAGGGAAGCTAATTGTACCGCCGATTTCTTGGCTAACAAGGCACATGACTTTGATTTTGGCACACATCCTTTCAATGTGTGTGATTTGGACTTCGTCCAATGGCTTCGCCACGATGTAATGGGAACTTCCCATGAACGTTTTACTACTAATGTGATTTAGACGCTTTGCGTCTATCTTTCAACCAAAAAAAAAAAATTCGAACAGTTCCAGTTAAAATGGGTGAATTTCATATTTGGTCACTAATCTTACTAAATCGAGTCATGTTTAGTCACTAGAATATTTTAATATCAATTTTGGTCACTTGAATTACTGAAACATGTCACATTTAGTCACTCTCCCGTTAGTTTCCGTCCAACTCAAAATGTGACATGCTTCAGTAATTCGAGTGACCGGAGTTGGACGAAGGGCAACGGGAGAGTGACTAAATGTGACATGTTTCAGTAATTCGCGTGACCCAAATTGATATTAAATTTTCCTAGTGACTAAACATGACACGATTTAGTAATCTCAGTAACCAAATGTGACATTTACTCATTCCTAGCTAGCTAGGTTTCTTCTTCTTAGCTTATTGTTCTCGCTTAATAGATGATGCAACTTTGTATAAGTTCAACTTTGGTGGGGCGACAACTGGGTAATACTCACGCGGGCAGGACGGATACATGAGAATCGAGACACTGCTAAAATTTGAAAAACAATTATCCAACACATTGTAGTAATTTGCATGTAGATAAAAAAAAATTTGATAGACCGGGACTCCCCTAAAAGTTGACAAAAAAACAAATATCCTACCCTTAGTAGTAGTTTGCGTACGATGTAATATAAGTGGTAGTCTGTGTAATTCAAATCTAGGATGTCGCGTAGAAACATTTTGGTGACCTACAAATGTATAATTTTAAGTTTTTAAATTTTAAAGCATGATTTTTACTACATTAAACATGGAAAATTTCAAGGATAAGTTCGACTCATTAGAACCAAAATATTGCAAGCCTCTTACGAATCAAAACGATCAAAATCCCGATCTGATATTAGAATGACACGTCTATTAATTCCAAATTATAATTCATTTTATAACAACCTCAACAAACCTGCTACATGTGTAATTTGTACCATCAAACAAATCCAAAATCAAAGAGGGACACATATATTTTTATTTCGATTGACATAATAATAAGGGCCACCAAACCAAACGTGATATTTTCTGTCTGCAACATTTCTTGGTTGTAACTTGTAAGATCCAAATTGTCGTCCTTCCCCGTTAAATCCGGTCAATGCAGGGTTTCCTGAACCACGCTCGCGTAGGGGTGGGCAACGGGAAACGGGTATTTGGGTATACCCGTACCCGTCCCGTTTTTTAAGGGTTATGGGTACCCATATTACCCGTAATATTATGAACGGATGGGACTTGGGATTGTACATTCCTAATATGGGTACCCGCGGGTTACCCGCAAATACCCGTTTGGGTAATGTGGGTACCCGTTTTACCCATTTGCGAACTCTAATCCATAGAAAGGGAATGTCCACTTCGCCACAAAGATGAAACTTTTCTTAGTAAAGAAACAAAGAACGCTATGTGAACATAATACTTGTAGACTCCCTTTTGTTAAATGAAACTTCTTATTTGATAATTTGGTGCTTAGAATGATTTATTTCTATGCGTTGTGATTGTTCATGATTTGTGTTGAATGAAACTTCTTATTTTATAATTTGGTGCTTAGAATGATTTTTTCTATGCGTTGTGATTGTTCATGATTTGTGTCTTGTGATTGTTAAGCAATTACAAGTTAAGTTTAAACTTTTGTTAAAATTTGAGTGGTTTAAACTTTGGGTATTTATGGGTAGTATGGGTACCCGTTATCCGTCCCGTACGGGTAATGGGTACCCGTTTTCCATATGGGTTTGGGATATGGGATGGACTTTGACCTCCAAATGGGACTGGGTACCCGTTTAAAACGGGACGGGTATCCCGTCCCGTCCCGTTGCCCACCCCTACGCTCGCGTCCAACTGATGAGCCTTAAGCAGTTCCTGGTATTGTTTGAGTGTCAATAGTGGGTTGGGCCATAAGGGTGTTAGGTGGGCTGGGCCATAAGGGTGTTAGGTGGGCTGGACCATGTGCTGGAATGTTGACCTAATTACGGTTTCGACGATGGGCTTCATGCAAAGGCCGTTTGGTTTGAGTGTAATTTGATTTTAGTGATAGTTAAATTGATGTAAAGTAATCATAATAATATATAGTCGTTTGGAGTTGTGATTGTTAAATACATATATTGTTGTCAATGCATGTATATATTTATATATGTATTGTCGAATTTAATGCATTGTAAAATACACCATTTGGTATGTGTGATTGTGCATGTCACATCAGCTAAAAGCTTAGACAAAACAATTTTAACTCAACAATCACAGCTAAAAGCTGAGATATAACAATCACTCATTTTGAGTGATGGTTTTTGTCACGTCACAGAAACAATCCATGTATTTGTTTCTACTAAGATAAAAATAAAAAATGCATTATAAACAATACATGTATATTAAAAAT